CCTGAGCCGAACTTCCTGCTTGTCGGACCTGTCGTTGGGCAGGGACCGACCGTCCCAGCATTCCCATAGGCTCACCACGAACTTTTCTCAGAACCCCCAAATGTTATAAGAACAATGCTCTTATAATGTAAACCCTGCGTCAAAACACGACAGCCCCAACCAGATGTTCTAAGAACATGTCGTCGTGCAGACCACCGTTGGTGCACGTCGTTCATTTCTAATCGTGCTCATTTGTAATTGTGCTCGTTTCCAATTGTTCCTAGCCCTCTAGTGGACAGGACGAGGCCCGGGAAAAAACAACTAGAAATGAAAGGATCTTGGCCCCCCCAAAATCAAATAACTTTCGAATACTTAGATATGAGCCATGTGTAGGCCTATAGGCGAGCCAGGACGCTCCGCCACTGCTCCACACCCGCTCGACATGGCGCGGCATTGGCACGGGCCCGATTGCGCGGCCCGCGCCGCAGGCCCAACGCCCCTCCCACGGGGACCCCACGAACGGGTCCTCTGTGGCCAGTGGCCTGGCGGAGGAGGAGGGAGAGTTGGGGGAGGAGGAGGAGGAGGAGGAGGAGGAGGAGGAGGAGGAGGAGGAGGAGGAGAAGGAGGAGGAGGACGAGGCCCACTCCACCCCGAGGTGGGCCACCCTGAGATCCTGGCGCTGCATCTTTTTCTCACGCCGGGCGCTTGCGCCAGACTTCGGGCCCCGGGGCCTTCATGGATCGATCCGGCTCGACCAGTGGCGCCGCAGGAAGATGGGGCCCAGGGCGCTGGTCGCGGTGTTTCACGATATTGCTTTTGTTCGCCGCGTCGGATCTCAGGGAACGCTGCAATGCCAGAAAGGGGCCCCAACATGGCAGCTCTCGGCAATTTTGCAAGACACCTGTCAAGGAGTACCCGTTACGGTGCCGCTGCCAGGCCTCATGCCGGCAGGCGCCGGCGCAGCCCTCTGGCTCGGGATGCTGCCGGGAGGCGGCGAGCGAGGGGGAAGTGAGCGCTTCGCGCTCCGAGGCTCGAGGTCCGAGGCGGGGGGTTTTCCCCGCTTTCGGCCTCTGGGGGCCGCTTTCGGGCCCCATGGGGCCCCCGAAGCTCGATCCGGGGGGGAAGGAGCCGCGGCGGATGGGCCCCGGGAAGGGTCCAGGGACACGTTCGCACCGATACCCGGCGACGCGCCCCGGGGGGGGACGCGAGGAGGAGAAGGCCTTCTCGGAAGGCGGCGGGGCTTCTCAGAAGCCCTGCGGGCTTCTGGACGCTTCTTGTGTCAGGGGAAGGTTCAAGAACTTCTCTGCGGGTCGGAGGATTTCCCAGCCTTCTGAAAAGGCTTGGGGGCGGCCAAGGGGATGGCGTCAACAAAGAGGCGGGGGCGCAAAACATGGCCAGCGGCATGTGCGCGGCCCAAAGGGGGGGGGGTAAGGGACGTATTGGAACAAAAAGGGGCGCCACGAAATCTGTGGAAATACCATGGCCCCCGCCATGATAGATCCATCCCGCCCCGTGGTCGTCACCCCCCTCGTTGCCGCCCCCGAAAGGCCCGCCACCTCTCACTCCCCTCCCGGGCCGGCCGCTGAGCCCGGAGCCCGGCGGACGCCCGAGCCGGTCGGGCAAGCACAGGGCTAAAACAGGGCTAGGATCGGAATAAATCGCTCCAGAGCGTTCTGGAGCGCTCTCAGAGCGTTCCGGAGCGCTCTGGAGCGGCCGCGGCGCCCAATACATCCTCCAAACCCGCCGATTCTCAGAGATTTCGAGTTATCCCGATCCGATTTTGTCCCGATCTTCGCGTCGTTTTAAGAGGGCCTCCCCTGAGATCCTGGCCAGGCCATTTTTTTTTCGCAGCGGGCGGTTTCGCCCAGTGTCCGGCCCCGGGGCCCTCGCAAGTCGATCCGGCTCGACAGAATGCTGCAACACAAATTGGGTCGGGGGCTCCGTGGGCGTATCTTTTTGTTTTGATGCTGCGCTTTTTTCCACCCATCCTGTGGTGCTGGGTCCTTGCTTTGAAGAGACAGCGCCCCGCGTCTCCTTCCCTCCCGCTGCCCCCTCCTACCTCCTCCCACCCCTGCCTCTGCCCCCCGGACGTCAACCAGTTCGGTATGCCCCTCGCACGTTTCGTGGCCACACATGGAATCCCAACTAAAGCCCAAATGCCAGCGCTCGCATGGCGCACCCGCGCCCGATCCAGCACACTCCTCACACGTCTCGTGGCCCCATAAAATGTTCCGCCGACGGCACCAACGGCTGCGCTCGCACGGCGCTGTCGCACCCGATTCCGCACGCCCGTCACACGTCCGTATCCCCGTATAGGGGCCCCAATGGTTGCGTCCGCATGGCGTACCCGAATCCGGCTCGGCATACCCCTCACACGTTTCGAAGCCTCAGAAAAGGGGGCTCCACCGGAGGCCCCAATGGCTGCGTTCGCACTGCGTGCCCTCATTTGATTCGTCTCCCCCCGCCCCACACCCATAGGAAGTTCCACCGAAGGCGCCAGTGGCTGCGCTCGTACGGCGTACTCGCCACCGATTCGGCACACCCCTTACACGTTTCGTATCCCCGTATTGGGCTCCACCGAATGCCGCATTGGCTGCGTTCGCATGGCAGCACTGCGCCGGATTCGGCACATGCCTCACTCGTTTCGTGGCCCCATCGGGAGCTGCCCCTCTTTCGTCCCACCTGCCTTGCGGGACTCGCATCCGCGTGTGGTTGTCTACTTTGCCGTGGTAACTGGTGCAACGTCAGGTCTGAGGGCCTGTGCAGAACAATTGGCCAGCACTGCGGAGGCAGGAGGGAGGAGGGCGGCGGCCGCGGACGAAGGGAAAAGGACGACGGCCCGCTCAGACCATGCAGGTCTTGCAGCGGCGTGCTTCGGCCCCGGCTCTGGCGGAGTGTTGCACGCAGGGCGCGTCCAGGTGCGTCTGGGACGGGAGCTGGACACACGCGTGGCTGGATTCACACCCAGATCTCCCACGATCCAACTTTTCTTCTTCCCAAATCGCCGCGCTCCTCCTCGATTTCGGCACTCGGGGGGGCGCTTCAAGGCCCCGCAGCCATGAAGCATAAGCCCCGCAGCCATGAAACATGGATCCGTGGCGCGGGAACAAAAACTACCATTGGGAAGCGGTCGGGACCTCTTAGGCTGCGGAGTGGAACCAACAGGAGGAGGAGGAAGAGGAGGAGGAGGAAGAGCAGGAGGAGGGGGACGCAGAATGGTGATGATCAGGATGATGATGATGATGATGATGCTGATGCTGATGATGATGATGATGATGATGATGATGATGATGATGATGATGCTGCTGCTGCTGATGATGATGATCATGATCAGGATGATGATGATGATGATGATGATGATGATGATGATGATGCTGATGCTGATGCTGATGATGATGCTGCTGCTGATGATGAAGATGAGGAGGATGCTGATGATGATGCTGCTGCTGCTGATGATGATGATGTGATGATGATGATGATGATGCTGTTGATGATGATGATGATGATGATGATGATGATGATGATGATGATGATGATGATGATGCGGATGCAGATGTTGATGATGCTGATGATGATGATGATGATGATGATGATGATGATGATGATGATGATGATGATGATGATGATGATGAGGATGACGAGGAGGACGAGAAGGAGGAGGAGGAGGAGGAGGGGGAGGAGGAGGAGTAGGAGTAGGAGTAGTAGGAGGAGGAGGAGGAAGAGGAGGAGGAGGAGGAGGAGGAGGAGGAGACGGCAGGATAACTGGGAGGCAGGAGACGCTGGAGGAGGCGGGGGGAGGCGGAGGCAGGAGGAGGCACGGCCACGTCCAGGCCTCTGGGCCCTTCCAGACTGGCGGGTGTCGGGGCACGTGGCGCATCTGGAGGCCACGCTGCGCCTGCGGAAGCCCGGCAGGCCCCGGCCACAGAATTTTGGGCCGAACGCTGGAGAGGCATCATGGCGGAATGGGTGTCCAACTCTCGCCCGGGCCGGCCGTGTCCTGTGTGTCCGGCTCCCTGGTGGCTCACCCGCGGCCTCACATCGGGACATGGGCTGTCAGGAGGATTTCCCAGCTAGCGAGTGTCATGGGGCCAGCTGGGGCGATCCACTGGACGGCAGGCCTGAGGACGAAATGGATGATGGCGTTTCCTCAGGTGGTGCTCGATCAGAAGCTGCGGGCTGCGCAATGATGTCATGCCACAAATAGGGCTGCCAAGCCTGCCGTGCCCACGGGCTCACATAATTTAGGATGGGATCTGCCAGACGACGCGAAGAGCGAGGCCGTGGCATAACGCCTCAGAAGCGCTCGACGCTCGAAGACGCACCGACTCCTAGACCTGGTATCCTGCCGCCTTCCAGGGCGGGGATCAAAGCGCTATTCGCATGATGATGCTACTGCTGATGATGATGAGGATGAGGAGGCGGAGTGTGGCCGAAGATGATGAGGATGAGGAGGAGGAAGAGGATGACCTCCAGCAGCAGGAAGTTTGGGACTGGTGGGCGTGTGCAGCGAGAGTCTTCCATGCACCTGCCTCGCCGCCACGCTGGCCGCGCCCGCGGCATCCGCCACGTCGCGCGTCGAGTCAACGTGAAGCCCTCCGCTGAAGAGTGGGCGAGGAGGGAGGCAGCGGAGCTGGAGGAGCAGCAGCCGAGAGCGGAGGGCCAAAGGATGCCAGCATCCAGCTGGATTCGGTTGATCGATGGGGGCATCGTGTGAGAGAACGAGGCCGGCTGGACTGCCTGAGTTTGCTCAACCGGCACGCCTGAAAAACCAAACACCACCTCACCGCGCTCCTCCACTTCTTCTCCTCCTCCTCCTCCTCCTCCTCCTCCTCCTCCTCCCCCTCCTCCTCCTCCTCCTCCTCCTCCTCCTCCTCCTCCTCCTCCTCCATTGCCAACCCAAAGGAAAACGAAAAAGCATGGAAGGACTCACCACGCTCACCCATGACTGCCGACTTCGCCGAGCGAGATCGTGCCAGCCGATCGCAGGTCTTTGCGAAGCAAAGCAACCGAACGAATTTCGCTCACTCACGGTCCGTCAACAGCAGCCATACGAAGTTGAAGCAGCCCGTGACATTGCCGAACAATTTCTCGTAGTTCAAGACGACCTTCGCCATGTTGGCCCTCGACTGCAACTCCTCGGCGGCCCAGCTGGAGGGCGATGCTGCCCGCAGCCTTCGGGGCCTGTGGACCCTCGCCCAGTGCGGGTCTAGCAGGGGCACCTCCGTCTCCAGGCGGTCAGAGAAGGACACGCGCTGCCTCGACTTCGGGCAGGGTGGGCTCGCCAGGGCCTGAAGGCTTTGCTGACCTGGTAGGGGGCCACGTGCGAACCCTGCCCCTGCCCCCCGCGATCTCTGAGGGGGAGGGTGGGGTAGGGTTATGTCGGGCGTGTCCCCCTACAGAAGGAGCTTCGACGAAAAATAAAAAGCACCCCAAACATGCACCCAAAGGGTCACAAAGATACTCAGAAAATCGTCCCCAGACTATTTTTGGACTATTTGTGGGGTATCTTTTAGTTTTCGTCGAAGATCCCCCTCTAGGGGGACAGGCCCGACTTACGGGTAGGGTTCGCCTGTGGCCCCCTACCCGGGCCATTGCAGACCTGGGCCACCTACCAGGCTTCATGCAGGGACCTGCGCGCCACAGCCCGAGCCAGTGCAGCCCCGGCCTTGCAGGCCCCTGCAAGGATCCGGCGCTCTGGCTGACCCCCGCTTGCACCGACCCCCGACGCAAGCTCGTAGACCCGATGTCGTGAGATTTTTTCCATGCGCGGTCCCCGGAAGTCCATTCCCCAGGACCGCTTTTTCCTCCCGAGCCGTTGTCAACGGTCCCGGGGCCCGGCGAGGGCCCCCAGAGGCCGACGTGGCGAAGAGCCTCCGCCTCGGTTTCTTCAACACGTTGGATCTCTGGGAGGCTCCCGAGGGCCGTTGACGCAGCGGGCCCCGGGCTGTCGGCGCAGCCCTCGGGCGACGCCGGCAGCTGCCACCGCAGGCGCGGCACCGGCGGCGCGGGCGGCCCGAGGCCCGCGGCGCCTGGAGCGGCGCGGCGCGGCCGGAGCCTGGGCGCGGCCCGCGGCGAGCGCGGCGAGAGCGGCCGCAGGGCCTTCGCGGCCGCGTCTCCGGGGTGGTCCTCGGCGGGGCAGGCCAGCTGCCCAGCTCACCGATCCTGGCCAGGCACCGATCTCAGCCCTGAGATCCCGGCGTTGCCACGTTGTTCACGCCGGGCGTCTGCGCCAAATTTCGGGCCCTGGGGCCCTCATAGATCGATCTGGCTCGAAAAAATGCGTAATTAGAAGGGTGGGGTCCGGCGCTCTGGTCGTGGTTTGTCACGATGTTGCAATTTTTCGCAACGCCAGATGCCAGAGTGGGCCCAGGAGGGGCCTGGCCAGGATCGGTGGGATGGTCAGCAGCTGACCTGACAGGGCGCCAGGAATCAAAAAGACCGGCGTCGCATCGAGAGCGCGCCCCTCTGGGGGGGCAGGAGGCGGGCAACTCGCACCAGCCAAGGCCAACGGTATTACTGATCCAAAAAGGGAGGGGGCCGAACGGTCATTCATTGTCTCTTGGTGCGTTCCGTTTCGCTCGAGACTTCCCCGCAATTCGGCAGCACAGGGGAATTCGTCAGAGCAGTCTTGCCAACCACTAGCGGAGGCCCCAGGGGAGGCCTCAGGACGCTCCAAAGACATGTGTTCGGGAAGCGTCTGCCGGCCCTCCCGCGCCCGGGAGCGCTTTTCGGCCCCTTCCGCTCCTGGGAGGCGCCAGAAGACACTTTCCGGTGTTGAGACTTGTGTTCGGGGAGCGCTTCTCGGCCCACACACACAAAGAGGCCCCAAGGGGCCCTCAATCGACACTTTTCTGTATTCGGAGGTGCGTTCGGGGAGTGACTGCTCTTAGAACCCACAGCAGGCTCCCCCATAGGCTTCGCCGCCCCAGTTGCTGGGGCTCGCGTCCGTGGCGCTTCACGGTTCCTATACGTTGCCCCCCTCCTGGGACTCGATTTTTTCTGATCTGTATACGATTAATTCGTATCACTTTTGTGGTTGTTGTTGTTGTTGTTGCTGTTGTTGAGCTCTCATTTATGAAAAATATTTCTTGTTGATCCCCCCCGTCCGGTGCACATTGGTTTTTTTCTCGGGTTCGCACCCTGTTTTTGATTAGGGAAAATCTTGAAGGTCAAACTGTGTCGTTGGCCTCCGGTTTACAACAACAGCGGCTCCCGCCTGAGACTTCCTCACAATTTAGCCAGGACCCCCGCTCCCGCCCGAGACCTCCTCGCGTTTTATTCAGGAATCGCGCTCTCGCTTGGGACCCCCTGAGAACTTATTCTCCCGGCGCTCTGGAGTCGCGCTCTCGCTGGAGACTTGCTTGCAATTTACAGGAATAGCGCCCTTGCCTTGGAATTTCTTGCAATTTACTTAAGCGCCGCGCTCCCGACACCCAGTCGCCCAGGAGTCGCGCACACGCTTAGGACCCCCTCACAGATTACATAGGAATCGGGATCTCCCTGCCCTTCGTGGCCCCCTTGCAACCCCTCGTGGCCCCCTCGCTTTGTTTCGTGGCCCCGTTGCAGCCCTTCGTGGCCCACTCGCTGCCCTTCGTGGCCCCGTTGCAGCCCCTCGTGGCCTCCTTGCTGCCCTTCGTGGCCCCGTTACAATCTTTCGTGGCCCCCTCGCTTTGTTTCGTGGCCCCGTTGCAGTCCTTCGTAGCCCCCTCGATGCCCTTCGTGGCCCCGTCGCAGCCCTTCGTGGCACCGTTGTAGCCCTTCGTGGCCCCCTCGCTGCCCTTCGTGGCCCCGTTGCACCCCCTCGTGGCCTCCTTGCTGCCCTTCGTGGCCCCGTTACAATATTTCGTGGCCCCCTCGCTTTGTTTCGTGGCCCCGTTGCAGTCCTTCGTGGCCCCCTCGCTGCCCTTCGTGGCCCCGTCGCAGCCCTTCGTGGCACCGTTGTAGCCCTTCGTGGCCCCCTCGCTGCCCTTCGTGGCCCCGTTGCATCCCTTCGTGGCCCCCTCGCTGCCCTTCGTGGCCCCATATATGTATGCCCTTCGTGGCCCCGTCGCAGCCCTTCGTGGCCCCGTTGTAGCCCGTCGTGGCCCCCTCGCTGCCCTTAGTGGCCCCGTTGCATCCCTTCGTGGCCCCCTCGCTGCCCTTCGTGGCCCCATATATGTATGCCCTTTGTGGCCCCCGCTCGTTCGCGCCCGTAGTGGCCCCATCTGCATCTGTCCTACGTGGCCCAGTTGCTACCGTCAGTGGCCCCATCGTTGCCATCTGTGGCCCCGCATTGTCTGCCCTTCGTGGCCCCCGCTCGTTCGCGCTCTTCGTGGCCCCATACGCATTCCCTTCGTGTCCCCGCTGTTGCCCTTCGTGGCCTACTTCGTGTCCTTGTGGCCCTGCTGTCGTTCTCTTTCGCTCTCGCTTTCGTTCGTCGTCGTCGTCGCCGTCGTCGTCGTCGTCGCCGTCGTCGTCGCCGTCGTCGTCGACGTCGTCGTCATGGTCCCCTGTCCGTCCCTCTTGGGGTCGGGTCGACGGTCCGCGGCCGCCCCGCCGATCAGCGCTGCCGCTGGCCAGGCCGACGGTCCGCGGCCGCCCCGCCGCTTGCCGGGGCCCGGCCTGCAGGGAGGAAGGGTATACCCCCCAAAAGGGGTTCGATCGAAGACGAAGAGGGCGGGTATCAAGGGTTTGGGAAATAGGCGTTATTGGACACTCGAGCAGATAAGGACAAACAATCTTAGAATGATTGGTGTTGTTGTTGTCGTTGTCGTCGTCGTCGGTGTTGTTGTGTTTGTTGGTGTTGGTGATGGTGCTGCTGCTGCTGCTCTTGTTGTTGTTGTTGGTATTGCTATGGTTTTTTGTTGTTGTTGAGGTTGGTGTTTTGTTGTTACTGTCGTGGTCGTGGTTGTGGTTGTATTGTTGTTGTTGTTACTGTTGTTGTTACTATTGTTGTTCTTGTTGTTCTTGTTATTCTTACACATTACCCCTCTCCTGGGGCTCGAATCCTTTGTGATTTGCGCCTGGTTCCTGTAGATTGCCCCTCTCCTGGGCTTCGATTCCTTCCTGTTCTGTGCATGTCCCTTTAGGTTGCCCCTCTCCTGGGGCTCGAATCCCTTGCGTTTCGAATCCTCACCGCTCCCCACGTCGCCCTATTATTTGTGAGTCCTGCGCGTTGAGCGCAGGAATGTGCCTCTGGTGGGGTGTTAGTTCGACCTCCTTGCGCGGGAGATCTGGGTGTCGTAATATCAGCCCCCTTTCAAAGAGTTCCCCAAGTGGGGGGTGGCATCATGATGGCATGTGACATGTACAAGCATGGCGCATGAGGGCGACATGATTGTTGTTCTTGCTGCTGTCACTGTTCTTGCGATTGTTCTTATTATTGTTATTGTTATTGTTGTTATGGTTGTTGTTTTTTGCAGTGTTTGCTGTTGTTGGTGTTGTTGCTGCTGCTGTTGCTGTTTTGATTACTGGTTTTGTTATTGGTGGTTTTGTTGCTGTGATTGTGGTTGTGGTTGTGGTTGTTGTGTACTTCTCCTTTTTGAGCAATACATATTGTTGACCCCCCCTCCCCGGTAACTGCTGCATTTTCCAGTTAAGGTGCTTCTCCTGGGGCTCGCGCCCTTAAAAGGAAAACGAAGGGTCACCAAAATGCGTTGTTGGCCCCCGAACTACAAGAACAACGGGCCCCCGCCTGATACTTCCTGGCAATTTATTCCACAATCGCGCTCCACTGCGGGACGTCCTCACATTTATACAGGAATCGCGCTCTCGCGTGGGACTTCCTCACCATTGATTCAGACGCCGCGCCCTCGACACGCAGGAATCACCCTCTCGCTGTGGATTTCCTCACGATTTGTTTGGGAATCGCGCTGTCGCTCGAGACTTCCTCGCGATTCATGCAATGCGCACGCTTCAGCAACCCGCCTGCTCGACCTGGCCGCCTGCGCCCGCCTTCCCGATCCGCCCGATAGGGTCTACGTACCCGCCCGATCTGCCCGTCTGGTTCTGCCAGGTGTTTTTTGCTCGTAGTCCCTCCTGTTACGTTCTCTCGTGCTCCATCCTCCTCCCTCCCCCCCTTGCCCCTTCCTTCCATCCGTCCTCTCTTCCCCTGCCTTAGGGGCTGCGCGAAAGACTCGTTGCAAGAGAGAAAGGTACATATCCCCAGGGGGGTACGATCGAAGACGAAGACGTGTGAGTATCGAGGGTTTGAGATGTACGTGTTGAATGGCCCGCGAGCAGAGGGAGCAGTCTGAACATGATGGTTATGGTTGTCGTTGTCGTTGTCGTTGTTGTAGTTGTCGTTGTCGTCGTCGTCGTTGTTGTTGTTGTTTTTTGTTGGTGTTGGTGTTGGTGATGCTGCTGCTGCTGTTGTTGGTATTGTAATTGTTATTGTTGTTGTCGATGTTGTTGGTTTGTTGTTACTGTTGTGGTTGTGGTTGTCGCTGTGGTTGTGGTTGTTGTTGAATGTTCATAACTACAGAAACCTGAAAGTTCATCCCCCCTCTGGTGTCCAGTGTGTTTTTCCGATTCAACTCTCCTGGGGCTTGCAGCCTGGTTTCAACAAGTGAAGGTCTCGCGCCCGAGATCGTGTCTTTGGCCCTTGGTTTACCATCGCAAGGGCTCCCGCCTGATCCCTCCTCACAACTGATTGAACAATCTGGCTCTCGCTCGGGATCTCCCTGCAATGCACTCAGGAAGACCAAACCGTCTGGGCCCGCCCGCTCGGCCCGCCCGTGAAAGCCTACCCACCCGATCTGCCACCCTCCTGCGTATCTCTCGCGTGCTCCATCCTGCTCCTTCCCCTGTCTTAGGGGCTGCGCAGCATGCCCGAGGCAAGTACGGAAGATATACCCCCAAGGGGGGACGATCGAAGACGACGAGGGCGGGTACCATGGGTTTTGGGATCTACGTGTTTGACTATCGTTTAACCGATCCTCATCCCCAGCGGCATGGCCTGGGCCCCACTGGCCAATTTACCCCCCTAGACAAGGATATAGGTCGTTCCCTTCGGGCTTCGAGGGGTGTATCCCCAACTGGGGTGGTAATTCGGTGGGGGTCTCGAAGGGGATGGGGATGTGGATGGGGGCCGGATAAACGATACTGAGTGTTGAATGGCACGCGAGGAGATGAGAGCAAACACGCTCAAAATGATTGCTGTCTCT